ATTCAAATTTTTAGAGCTTGCTAATAATAATAATAATAGTAATAATGTATTAAAGTTAAGCTTTTGAAAAATTTTATTTAGTTTTCCATCATTAGGCAAAAGTGCAATAATTAATTAAATTTTGTCAAATTAAATAACAAAAAAAGGGAATAGAATCATTCAATTATTTATTAAAGTTATTATTAATCGATAAATTAATATTTAAAACGAAAAGAAAAGTATTAATATGTTTATTTATTTATTTATTTATTTATAATTTTTGTTGTATTTCGCAAAAAACAAAATGAAAACATAATCGCATCAAGTTAAAACGGGTCAAAATAAAATATTTTTATGTATTTTTCTTTTTTTTTTTTTTAGAGGGAAATAATTAATCAAAATTCATTTATTATTACTATTATTATTATTATTAATTTGTTTTTTTTTTTTTTTTTCGATGATAGCATAAAAAGTTTAAAATTCATATCAATGATGATAATAATAAAACAATGAAAATTAGAGATAGAATAAATACCCAAAAATTGCGCCTTTGTTACTTTGATTATTGTTATTTATTTATTTATATAAATATATACATATATACACTAAAATATACATGTATTTAATAATAATAATATAATTAATTTGTTTAAAATTAAAACAAAAAGTAAAATTTATTTATTTTGTTTTTAATAATTGATTTAATTCGTATATGAAATTCAAAAGTATTTACATATGGACGATAATTGAATAAAGTCGATTAATTGTTCGATAGATCGATATATCGAACGATAAATAATTTTTATAACGTTCCCTTGTTTTCAATCAAGACGAAACGAACGTACGAACAAAAAAACGAAGAAAAGTTAATTAAATTATAATATAAAATAAATGACGAAAAAAAAATAAGTAAAAATTATACTAATGTCGTAAGGTAAGTATTATAATCTATTATTATTTTCATTAATATTTTTTCCGCGAAATAATAATGATAATAATAATAAGAAAAAAAAAAAAAAATGTTTGCATTAAGCAAAAATTAGGCTTGTTTAAGCCTGATTTAATTTGTTACGTTTCCTTTAGTTTTTTTTTTTTTTTTTTTTTCTCGTTTGTACGTTTGTTTGTTACGTGAGTCATCGAGTTATTAAATTATTTGTCGTTTAATAAAAAAAAATTATTTTGTATTTTATTATTATTATTATTTGTAACAATCGTTCGGTTTTTTTTTCTTCTTTGTGTTTTTTTTAACATTGTTCGTTTTAAATTAACATTATTATTATTATTATTATTATTAACGAATCGTTAATGTTATTTATAATCATTTTGTAAGTTTATTTTTTTAAATTTGTTTTACATTTTTTTTAAAAATAATAATAATAATAATAGTAACGTGCAAATGATTTATTTTATTAAATTAATTAAAAATAAGAGAATATTTTTTAGAAAAATTGCAAGAAATAAAAAAAAAAAGAAGAAGAATGATATCATGTCGTTGGCATTTGTTTTATTTTTATTAAATCGTCATAATTATAATAATAATTTATTTAAAAAAAAAATGAAAAATCAAAAATGGCGGCTAATTCGAAAAAGGATTAAATTCAAACAAAAAAATTTATTTTCGTTACAAATAATTACAATTAATTGTTGTTAATTCATTGTCGATAATAATAATAATAATAATATAATAAAATTTTTATATTTTCAGGTTTTAAATATTAATAATAATAATAATTATTTTTTTTAATAAATTGATATAAAATTAAAAATAATAATAATAAAAAAAAAAAAGGAATCATTTGTGAAATTAGGCAACGTTGGACTTTGACAATTATTATTTATTTTATTTTATTTTATTTCTTTCTTAATTGTTATTTTAAAAATGACACATTAAATGTTAATGTCAGTGATTTTATTAAAAAAAAAAAAGAAGAGAGATTATTAGTATTATTATTATCAAAGTTTTCTTTCTAATTGTGTATTTTTTCCATTTTTTTTTTTTTTTTCTTATATAAAACAATATTGTAAGTTATTAAATACATATTAAATATTTTAATTATTTATGATTTTGTTTAAATTTATTTATTTTTATTTTTTCTTCCAGATAAAATATAATTTTATTATTAATATGGGTTGGACAAATTATCAAATTTTTTTGGTCGTACTTTTAGTTGTGACTGGATCATTTAATACTCTCAGTACAAAGTAAGTTATTTATTTTTTTTAATAATTATTAATTTTGTTGAAAAAATTATTTGAAAATTGATATCATTAATCATTTGTTTTCTCGAATCATTTTTTTTTTTCAATGTCGAGACATTTAATATTTTTTTTATCCATTAAGTTAACGCCTTTTTTTTTTTTTTTTTTTTAATTGTTATTATTACTTGCAAATATTTTGTTTAATTAGAATAAATTCCTTTTTTTATTATCGTTTAAATCCAAAAAAAATTCTTTTTTTATCAGTCAATTTTTATTTTTTCTTTCATTAACGGTTTAAGCGATAATGATATCAAAATTTTCTAGGTAATTAAAATTTTTTTATCGCTGAAATTTGGTATAAAATTTGCATGTTTTGATATATTTTAATTTTTTGATTAATGTTTTTTTGGAAAGAAATGTACATGTTTGTAATAGTTGAATGAATGCTTTACTTTTTGTATTAACATGTTAAAAAAAAATTCATTTCAAATGGGCTGATCGTATGAAATCTGAGGGTGCCGATGGAACTGTCAATATTTTGTTCATCCATTTTTTCAAACTGTGATCATGTTTTTAGGAGAAATATCTTGCTTGTTGGCATTCAGACTTGTATACTTATACTTTAGATTAAAAGATAACACACATGAAACAAGGGAATTACTTAAAGGAAATAAAAATTTTAGCGTTTGGATATTTTGTTTGCCAGCCATGTGTGATATTATAGCAACATCAGTTATGAATATCGGTTTAACATTAACATATGCATCATCATATCAAATGTTAAGAGGTGATGGGAAAATTTTAATTTCAAAATTTTTTTTTTTTTTTTTAATTTGTTCATTTTAAATAATATGGGGAGAAAAGAAAAAAAGCAGAAAAAAAAAACTTAACAATGATTTTAATTATAAATATTACGAAAATTGTTTACATTTCAAATTTAAAACAAATTTTGTCATTATCAAAAATAATATAATTAATTAATTAATTAATTAATTAATTTTGATGGAATTTTTAATTAGTTTTGAATTTTAACTCAATTAAATTTTTTTTCTTTTATTATATATTATTATTTACTCAATTGTGTTTACATCATTCAGTTGTCGTATAGATTAATTTTTAAGATAATTTTTTTTCTTCTTTATAATTTGTCTCTTAATAATAATAATTTTGCTTATTATTATTATTATTATTATTATTATTATTCTTTTTAGGATCTTTGATTGTTTTTGTCGCTTTATTATCTGTCGGTTTTCTACAAAGAAAAATTCAATGTAGAGAATGGATTGGAATTGTTATTGTTATAAGTGGACTTATTATCGTTGGAATTTCCGATTTTATGTTTAATAAAGACATTAATGTTGATACTAATAGCGTAATTACAGGTGGGGAGAATGATTTTTTTTTTTTTGTTAAAATTGTTTGTTTGGTTTCATTTAAATGTAATATAAATAATTATTTTTATTTTCAGGTGATTTATTAATTATTTTAGCACAAATAGTTACATCAGTTCAAATTGTTTTAGAAGAACATTTTGTTAGCGGTAAAGATATTCCTCCACTTCAAGCTGTCGGTTGGGAAGGTGAATAATTTCTTTTCGATTAATTTTAAAAAGGAAAAAAGTTTAAAAATTTATATAATTTAAATTTATGTACTTATTAATAAACAGGATGTTTCGGATTCACCATTCTCGGATTTTTACTCATTCCATTATATTACATTCATATTGGTAAACCTATAAGTAATGGTCCCGAGGGAAGATTGGAAGATTTGAACGATACATTCGTACAAATCAAAAATAATCTCATGCTTTTATTTCCAATATTAGGTAATTGTAATCATTTTTTTTTAGATACATTAACAATGTACAAATTAATAATTATTTTTTTATTATTATTATCGATTAGGAAATGCTGTTTCCATAGCTTTTTTTAATTTTGCTGGAATTAGTGTAACAAAGGAAATATCTGGCACAACTCGAACAGTTTTAGATAGTGTGAGAACGTTTTTCATCTGGGGTATAACTTTAGCACTTGGTTGGCAATCATTTTCAGCACTTCAGGTAAATTAAATTGATTTTGTTTTCATTTGAAAAAAAAAATTAGTTTCTATAATTTAAAAAAAAATTGTAATTTTTTTTACAGATTTTTGGTTTTTTCGTACTTCTCATGGGTATTTTTATTTACAATGATATAATAATACCTAAATTAGCCAAAAGAATATGTGATTTATGTAGATCGACTTTAGCAAATAAGAGAAGTGATATTTTAGTAAGTCATAATCCAAATGCTGCTTCACCTTGATCACAAAAACGAGTAATGTCAGAACTGTATAAATGATGCTTCAAGTTTACAAATACGTATTTTAAGTTTATTGTTATCGATAAAATACAATGAAAATGAAATGAACTCATCGATTAACTAAAATAATAATAATTCATTTTTTATTTATTGTGAGTTATAGTGTATTTTGTATATTTTATAATAGTATTGTTTTTTTAATTTTTTAATATTAGATTTTTTTTTTTCTCTTAATTAATAAAACAAGTGCATTTAAATCAATTTATAATTATTTTTTTATTAATTAATATTTGTAAACTGGCAAATTAAAAGGGGAAAAAAAAAAAAAAAAACGTACTTTAAATTTTAAATGTACTACAGTTCCTATAATAAAGTTATGCTTTATTTTTTTAATTTTTTATCATAATTATTATTATTATTTTCTTTAAACAACCTATCACTGGTTTTTTATTTATTTTATGTATAAATTATATAATAAAGAAAAGGAAAAATAGTAAATTTAATAGATTTGTTAAAATAGTATTGAAAATATGCAGAAAATGATTTACAATGGACTATCTTCAATGTTTTTATATGCAGATTGTTTTTTTTTTTTAACTATAATGAATTCCAAACTTGTTAAAAATGTGAATTATATTGATTTATTTAAAATTTTTAACGTAGAAAAGGTAAAAATTAAATTAAAATAAAACAAAAATGATGATGATAGTTGCTCTAATATACAAAATATATTTAAAATTTCCTTAAATTTTTACAATTTATAATAAAATTAACGGTTAAAATAAAATAATAAATAGTTAACACTCAATAAATATGGAGAATTTTTTTATAAAGTAATAAAAAATAAATAAGTTTCATTAAAAACTTTTTTTTTTTTTTTTTTTTTTTGAAATTGAAAAAAAAATTTCAAAATTTTTACATTTTAAGTTTAAATTACTGTTTTAAAGAGGAAATGAGGCATTTAAGATTTTTTTTTTTTTGTTAGATTGGCACCACTGTCGCGGTGAGAAAAGATGGCATGGTAGTTGTTTGCTTGGAATTTGGTGAAATTATATTTAATAAAAAAGAGACATAATTAATTGAATATAATTAATTATAATTAAATAATTTAAAAGAATTGTCGATATAAAAAGGTAATTTTTTTAAATTTACGTCATTTATTTAATTAATTTTATTTATTTTACGTTATTTGATGATGAAATTTTAATACACCTGTTCGTGGGGGAAGGACGTGTCTTGCTTCCGAAATATCCTACTTAATAAATTTATCACACTTAATTTTTAATTTAGATATTTATTCGTCACAAAAATAATCATTTTAAAACATTCTTTACTTTTATTTATTTATTTTTTATTTGTACAAAATCATATTTGTAACTTTTTATTAAAATTTTACGTCAATTTTTTTTTTTTTTACATCGTTTAAAATTTTTTTTTTTTGAAAAACATGGCCGTTGTTAAATTTTTTTCTTATTGCATAGGGAAAAAAAAAAGAGGAAACAATAATTTAATTGTCGATCGCGAATTAACATATACAATAACGTTTAATTTTACTTTAGATTTGTTTGGAAAATTAATTTAGGTAATTAATTAAAATTAATTTATTATTTTATTACATTACTGTTATGACATGTTGATTTGTGTTAAGCCCTTGAACTCAGGAATTCATTTGTTCTTCTCTCTCAAAAAAATAATTTTTTTTTTTTTTTTTTTTTACTTTAATAATAATCTTGTCTTTTCACAATCAAGGTCATTCACATTTTAATACACTAATAGATAATGATAATAAATAAAATTATTATAAAATTTTGTTGTATATAAAAGTATGGTATTTGTCTTACTTAGTAAAAATGTGTGTGTGTGTGTACATAGACTGTCACATTATTGAAATATTTTTTAAATGAGTCATATAAAGAATTTTATTTAAAATAATATATTATCATGAAATGTTATTGATTTAAAAAAAAAAAAAAAAAAAAATGTTTAACTGTGTTTTTTTTAATAATTATATCATAACATGAATTCAACATTTAAAAATCAAAATTTTAAAATAAATATTGATTTTCTATTTTTTATTCGTTTAAATTTTTAGTTTAGGGGTTTAGTTTAAAAATCCATTCAATTAATTTATTATTGTATTTAAAAGAAGACAAAAATGTTTAAATTTTAAACATTATTCAATTATGAATAATTAATTTTCAATTTCCTTATGGTTTTCATTAATTTTTTCATTTCATCGTATTTGCAACGATTTAACTGTACAAAATTTTTTAAGTGATTTTTTTTTTTTTTTTTTTTATAGAGAGTTTTGAATATTAATCAATAAGTGACATTGAATTGTTTTTTTCTTTTTTATTTGTAACAGTAAACAATTGTTCTGTTTACCGCTTGCTGATTATCTTATCATTTCAAAAAAAAAAAAAAAAAAAAAATGCATAATAAAAGAATTTGAGTACAAAATTTAATTTGCAAATTCATTTTGCTTTTTTTGGGAGAGGGGTAGGGAGGAAGGGAGGGAGGGAGAGGGGGCAGCAGAGAAAATAATCAATTTAAAACAAAAACAAACAAACAAACAAACGAGCAAACAAGAAAAAACAAAAAAAAGTAAAATATTTATTTAACAAAATCAATTTCGATTTTATCAATGAATGACTTCTTGAAAATATTACATAATTTTGACAAAGCTAAAACAAAATGACAAAAAAAAGGAAAAGGAAAAGGTATCATTATTTACCATAATAATAATAATAATAATAATAAAGAAAATGTAATTTCGACAAATCGTTTTAAAATTATCAAACATTTAAAAAAAAAAAAAAACAAAGAACAAATTTAAATGTTTTTAAATTTGTGAAACATTATCGAGTTGATTTTTTTTCTTTTTTTTTTGGTATTATCATAACCGAAATTTAAATAATTTTTTTTTTTTTTTTGTTCTTTATTTTCCTCAGGAGTCAAAGTCTAAAAAAGTTTTCCTTTTTTTTTTTTTTTACTAATTTTTTGTTAACTCATTTTAATCGTGAATGTTTTTTTTTTTTTTTTTTTTGCATATTGCAATATTTCATTAGGTTTTCAAGGCCTTAAAGGAAAAAAAATTTTTTTTTTTTTTTTTTTTTTTGCATATTTATCTTGTCGAGTAATTGATATTAGATAATAATAATAATAATAATATTTTTTATAAATTTAAATTAAATTTTTCTTAAAAGAAAATTAATTAAATAAAAAATAAGAGTATAAAGAAATGTTTAAACGTTTTACATATATATATATATATAATGAAGGTAATTGAATTTAGATCAGTCATTAATCTCACCTTTCACTTTGTGAATTTTTTATTTACTATGACCACGTTTAATATTTTTAAAGTTGTTTAATTAGTTTTGAAAAAAAATATTGTATAAAATGTCAATTTCATGAGGAGAATGAAAATTTATTATTATTATTATTTTTTTTCCTACATTTATGTAAGAAAATGAAGTTTTTGTTGATGACGTTTATTATTTTTGTTGTAGGAGCCATCGTTTGAAAATGTCGTATCACAATTTATTAGACGGGGATTGCGGTGGACAAAATCCACTCGTTAAATTAGGTAGTCATTTTTCACAGGACCAAGCTTTCAGACAAAACAGAGTTCATCCTCTCTCACCCGACTTTACACAAGCCGATTTGGTAAGGATCCTTCCCTGTTTTACTCCCGGATCTTTCCCGGATCCTCCTCGTTGTTTTTGTTGTAAATAATAATAAAACCCTTTTTGTTCCAGCTCGTACACGAATTTTTGGAAGATAACTTGACGCAAAATGTTCAAACGTTTCGAATGGATGAACTATTTAGAGAAATGCGAGATATCGAATCGAATTCGACGAGGTAATGAAAATTTTAGAAAATTAATCGAAAAAATATCGAAAAAAAAAAAAAAAAAAAATGTATTTCTTGACCTGATTTAAAAAAAAAAAAATATTTCGTAACTTTTTTTTTTTCGATATATATATTTGTATAATAATCCTTGGGTGTTAAATGTACCGTTTTATTTATTTATTTATTTTCTTTTATTATTGTTTGTTTGTTTCGTTTTGTTTTAGGTCTCCCATTAACCAAGCGCCCAACGTTGCTCAATTAACCGCCAATTTCAAAGATAACATGCAAACGGGGGGGAGTGGTGGTAAACATTCGATATGGGCTCAAGAATTTACAAATTCGGAATCGAACGAATCCGAACAACAAAAATTATTATTTCCAACGGATCCCTCTCTATCGATTCCAATTTATACCGAGCAAAACATGATAATGCCGAATGATTTAAATATGGCACCGCGAGAAAACGAATCGCTAATAAAAGAAGGCGGTGGTGGATGCGACGGTGATAAATTAAGGCCCGTCCAGGGAAATCTAAGGGATTTAAACGAATCCTCGGATTGGGGATTGGAATTTGATGAAAAGATGAAAAAAATGGATGAGAATCAATACGGGTTGGGAAAGGATTGGGTGGAAAATTTTTTAAAAAATGGCGATGAAAAAGTCGATGATAAAACGAGTTTAAACGAAAAGGAAGAAGGTGGCGGCGGTACGGGTGGTTCGTCAAAGGTACGAGTTTTCTTTCTTTTCTCTCATAATGTTTGTGTGAGAAATTTATATTTAATTATTATTATTATTATTATTATTATTTGATTTCGATATAGGAAATGATTTATTTTAAAAAACGGGTTTTTATAGATAGGAAAACAACCACATATATTATACTCATAGATATTTTTTTAAACGTTTGGCTTGAATTCAAAAAAAAAATAAAAAAAAAAATTTGTCTGCCGTAAATCCATATGAAATCTAGGCTGAGCTTAGATTTCATTGCACAAGGTCAAGACATGTTTCTTATTTTTAGGCTTAATCACTTTTTTTTTTTTTTTTTTTTTGTTTATTTACGTTTACGAAAAATATTTATTTTTTTTATTTTATATATTTAATTATAACTCATGTTCTAAGACATATCATCATCATCATCATCATCATCATTATTATTATTACTATTTTTTTTTTTTTTTTTTTTTTTTTTTTTTTCAAATTTATTTAATAATGTTTAAAATTTTGCAAAATGTTGCACACACACACACACACACGTGGGAACAACGACGACATCTACCGATGATTTTATAAAATAATTTTTTTTCCGCCATTAAAAGTAGAAAATGGATTCGATTGCCAAATTGACGCTCGTTGTCGTTGTTGTTTGTTTTTTTTTTTAAATTAATCATTCATTTAATGTAATTAATATAACAATTTTAAAATAGAATTGGAAAAAAAACTTGGAGAGGATGGATGAGGTCAACGTATTGGTGGAATGAAAACGTTTTTTTATTAAATGGTTGTTTAATGTTATTAATAATTTTCTCTATCTCTCTCTCTCTCTCTCTCTCTCTCTCTCTCTCTCTCTCTCTCTCTCAATAACCGTTTTTTAAGAATGTAGTTAAAATGTTGGTTTGTTTTTTAATTAATGAGTCGTTAAATCGTGTAATAATAATAATAATAATTATTTTTTAAATAGCTTGATTATGATTATTATTATTATTATTTCGTTACAGTTCATCAAGTTCATGAAAAGCAATCAAACGGAAAATGAAGAAAAGAAAAAAGGTGAGGAGTGGGCAGAAGAATACATGACGAGAGAATTGGATGATGCGGATTTGAATAACATATGGTCGGGGGGAAATGTGGAAAATGCGGATACGGATGCGGAAAATGCAGAATTTTCCGATCAGTTTTGGAAAAAGTTACAAAAGGAATGGGAAAAAATGTCGGAAGCGGAAGGGAGTAAATCATGGGAAAAGGAATATGCGGATTTTATCGATCCTTTCAAGGTACCCTCCCTTTTTTTTTTTTTGAAAAGGTTCGAGAGTGAGAGGGGGAGGGGAAGGGGAAGGGGGATAAAAGGAAATAATTTCCGTTTTATTTTTTTTTTTTTAATAGGAATATACTTTCGATGCTGAAAATCCGATGAAAGAAACGGAAAATCCATTTGAATGCGGTTTGAAAAAATTAGAGGAAAACGATTTGCCCTCGGCCGTTTTATGTTTCGAAGCAGCCGCACAAATCGATCCGGAAAATCCGTTGGTTTGGCAATATTTGGGAACGACGCAGGCGGAAAACGAGCAGGTTGGGTTAAATTATTTCATTCTCGAGGAGGTTGTACCATTTTTTTTTAAAAGGAATAACCCACCGGTTAACGGTTTAAACTTTTGTTTTGTTCCACGATAGGATCCTCGTGCCATTTCCGCCCTGAAAAAATGCATAAGTTTACAAAGTGATAACCTGACCGCTCTCATGTCTCTTGCAATAAGTTACACGAATGAAAATTATCAAAATCAAGCGTGTCAAATGTTGAAACAATGGCTCCAAAATAATCCAAAATATTCGGATTTGGTTAAAGATTCATCGAAGGGAAATTATTACAACATATCGTCTCTTTTGTCTTCGTAAGGAATTTTTTTTTATATTTTTTTTTGTGTGACGTTTTTGTCTTTTTGAGTAGAATAATGTTTTTTTATTATTTTCACACAGTAACATTCATCAAGAAGTTAAAGAAATGTTCATCGCGGCCGCGAATAAATGTCCGACAGGAGAAATCGACGTCGACGTTCAATGCGGACTCGGAGTTTTGTTTAATCTTTCAAATGAAATCGACAAAGCTGCGGATTGTTTCAAGGCGGCTTTGCAAGCGAGGCCAAAGGTATGAAATGTTGATGACGTCGATTAAAAGAGAGAGAGAGAAAGAAAATGTCATGATGTTTTGTTATCCCTTTCAGGATTTTCGAATGTGGAATCGTCTGGGTGCAACTTTGGCCAACGGACACAGGAGCGAAGAAGCCGTCGATGCTTATTACAACGCATTGCATTTGAGTCCGGGTTTTATAAGGGCTCGATATAATTTGGGAATAACGTGCGTGAACCTCGGAGCCAATCGGTAAATACTTGTATTCCCGGGATTAAGCAAAACAAGAGAGAGAGTGAGAGAGAGAGAAAGAGTGAGAGAGAGAGAGAGAGTGAGAGAGAGAGAGTGAGTGAGAGAGAGAGAGTGAGTGAGAGAGAGAGAGTGAGTGAGAGAGAGAGAGTGAGTGAGAGAGAGAGAGTGAGTGAGAGAGAGAGAGTGAGTGAGAGAGAGAGAGTGAGTGAGAGAGAGAGAGTGAGTGAGAGAGAGAGAGTGAGTGAGAGAGAGAGAGTGAGTGAGAGAGAGAGAGTGAGTGAGAGAGAGAGAGTGAGTGAGAGAGAGAGAGTGAGTGAGAGAGAGAGAGTGAGTGAGAGAGAGAGAGTGAGTGAGAGAGAGAGAGTGAGTGAGAGAGAGAGAGTGAGTGAGAGAGAGAGAGTGAGTGAGAGAGAGAGAGTGAGTGAGAGAGAGAGAGTGAGTGAGAGAGAGAGAGTGAGTGAGAGAGAGAGAGAGAGAGAGAGAGAGAGAGAGAGAGAGAGAGAGAGAGAGAGAGAGAGAGAGAGAGAGTGAGAGAGAGAGAGAGAGAGAGAGAGAGAGAGAGAGAGAGAGAGAGAGAGAGAGAGAGAGAGAGAGAGAGAGAGAGAGAGAACAAACTTTTTAATTTTTTTTAATTATTGTTTACGATACAGAGAAGCAGCCGAACATTTGCTGACCGCACTTAATCAGCAAGCAAAGGGTAGAAATTCTCAGGGCGACGTCGGAATAATGAGCGAATCCATTTGGACGACATTGAAAATGGTTGTCAACCTTTTGGGAAAGCAAGAATTACTCGCAGCAGTCGATGCAAGGTAATTCTTAATTAATTTTTTTTTAAATTTGTGAGGGGTTCTTTGGGCTTTTATATTCTCTTGCATTTTCTTTCTCTTTCTCTCGTTTCCCTTCCCCCCACCCCCCCCGTGAAAAAAATTTTAATTTTTCTTTTTTTCTTTTGTTTTTTAAAGAGATTTGACGACGCTCAACAAAGAATTCAACATAAAATGAAGTAGTTTTTTTTTTTTTTTTTTTTTGTTTTTTTTTCTTTTTTTCTCTTCTTCTTTTAAACAGAAAACAAAAAGAAAATGGAAAAAAAAGAAAAAAAAAAAAAAAAAAAAGAGAAAAGGAAAAAAGGAAGGAAAAAAGGAAAAATTATCGATCGCGATATAAAGTGAAAATTAATTTTTTTTTTTTTTTTTTTATATAACGTTAAATGACGAAAAAACGGTTTATAACTGACAAAACTTGCTTGGAACCAAGTTGATTGTCTTTTCAAAAAAACAAAAAAAAAGAAAAAAATTTTTGCTTTTTAAAATCATCGTCATCATCGTCAATCGTCATTCGTCATTATTTTATGTTTTTTGTCTCGGTTGTGATGAGCCGGTAACCATAAATAAAGGATGACACGAGTCCCTCGGTCGGTCAGCTGGTCGGTCGGTACCAGGGGCAGATACCAAAAAGAAAGAGGAGGCGAAGAAGAAGAAGTGAAGGAGGAGGAGGAGTAGAAGGAGGAGGAAGAAAAAAAAAGCAGGAAAAAAGAAATCGAATTTGTTTTTTTTTTTTTTCGCATTATAAAACATCACAGTTTAGTTATAGTAAACACACACAGACACACACACATACAGTTGGAAATCAATAATAAATCGATAATCGATAATCAATAATCGATAACAAATCATTGCAATCGAGAATTTGAAGAAGTGAGAAAAGGAAAAAGGAAAAAAGGAAAAAAAAAAAGGAAAAACGGGTTTTTCGGGTTTTTTTTTAAAAATTTTTTTCCCCATTGATTTATATATATTGATTTTTTTTTTTTTTGTTATTTTTTAAATTTGATTTTTTTTAAACGCGTTCGTTAAATGTTTTCCAAGTTAAGTTTCAGTTGAATTTTTTTTTTTTTTATTATAACTATCATCATCATCATCATCATCATCATCATCATCATCATCATCATCATTATCATCATCGTCATCAACATCATCATACACACAAACACACACAAACATGTCGTTTTCCGTCGGTTCGGTTTTATGCGACGGGGGAAAGAAAGAAAGAAATGAATGAATGACGTCATTCAAGATGGGTTTCGATGACGTCGTCTTATTCGTCGTCGTCCGTATCCTCTCACGCGTGTGTGTGTGTGTGAGAGAGAGAGGGAGAGAATGAAACGGAAATTTGTAAAACCCGGTGAAAATGAAAAAAAAAAAAAAAAGACGGAAAATGACGCGGAAAATTTTTTATTTTTATTTTGTTTAATTATTATTATTATTGTTATTGTTATTAATGATGCTTCATCACTCTTTCTCTCTCACTCTCTCACTCTCTCTCTTTCTTTCATTCGGTTTCGGTGTAAACGTTGTTTATGTTGTTGAAAACGTTCTAGAATAATTTTATTCGGGGGAGAACAAAAAGAAAGGGAGGAGTGTGAGTGGGAGGAGAGAGGGAGGAGGGTGGAGGGAGGGAGGGGAAAACCGCCAAGCCAACTTCAACCGATTATTATTATTATTATTATCATTATTGCCTACATCATCGTCACCATCATCATTATCATCACCGTCGCAATCATCGTCGTCACAATATTAATAATAATAATGATCAATTCATAGTCATTCATATTGTAAAAATGAAATAATGATAATTTTATTACAATAAAATACCAGCCACTTTTTTTTTATATAATGATAATGATAATGATAATAATGCACGTGCAAAAAAACGTTGCCGAAAAAAAAAGAAAAAAAAATTTATTGCTCTTATTATTATTATTATTATTATCTCTATTACTATTACTATTTTTTAATAAGGTACGCGCATGATAATAATATAGCTATATATTAATATATATGCATATAAATATTTATGTGTAAATTTATATTATAAACTATATTTTGTATTGTATCGTCTATTATTATTATTATTATTATTATAATTATTATTATTATATTTACGATTGATTTATAACGTTTATGGGAATTAATACTATTATCATTATTATAATAATAATAATAAATTCGATGCGAAAAAGCGTTAAAAAAAAAAAATTGTGAAAAAAAATTTGAAGGAAATGATGACCGTGACGTATGGATTACGTCACTTCCGGCCGATGTCGGAGCATAATAAACTCGGTTGCTTTTATTTAATTTCCGGTGGATTAATACTTACTTATTCTTATATATATATATATATATATATATATGTCTATAATTTTTATTTTTAAAAGATTTATATGATTCCCGAAATATTTTTTAATATATAATAATTATTAATAATGATAATAATAATAATGATAATGATATTAATATATACATATATTAAATATTAATGTAAGGTTAAAAGTTGAAAAAAAAAAATTTATTAAAAAAAAAAAAAAATTGCGAAAAAAAAGGAAAAAAGGAAAAAAAAAAAAAAAAGATATTTTTACTATAGTGTTAAAACCCCCCGAAAGTCCAACCCGTACGTCCACGTCGTGGGGGATGGGCAACGGAAAATTAAAGTAGAATTTCCGGGTCCTTTTTTTTTTTTTTTTTTTCAAAGAAAAGAAAATCCGGAAAAACGAAAAATTTAAACCGGCAAACACGGGCTCTGGTCGATTTTTTTTTTTTTTTATATATATAATTTTTAATCGCGTTTATATAAATATATATATATATATATACATATGTATGTGGTTTTTTTTATTAATAATAATAAATATCATCATTATCATCATCATCATCAAGACCCGTCGTCGTCGTTCACATTATTATTATTATTGTTATTATTTTCATTAACGGCTTTAATCAATATTTTCATAAAGAAAATCGGGTGAAGTTGGCTCATAGTTGGTTTATTATTATTATTGTTATTATTACGATCATAATCATCATTATCATTATCATCGTGATTACTCATGAAATGTCATCATCATCATTATTATAATACCATTATTATTATTATTATTATTTTATTTTATTTTTTTATTATTATTTTGTAAAAATGTTGTGTGTAACGCATTTTAAAAAAATAAAAATAAAAAATTATAAATTTATTATTATTATTATTATTATTAAGTTCATTTTGTGAATGAACGTACTCTCAACCGATCCCACTCCCCCTCGCCACACCCCCCTTGCGTGCGCGCGCATTTACGTCACCCGTCTACGGAAAAGGATTTACGTTCTGATGGAGGTCAATGACTTCTTTCTTCCCTCGTAGTGAGAATCGAATACCACTACGAGGTCGATGACCTCTATAAATACGTACGCGTAAAATCCCATTCATGAAAAAATTTTTAGGGATGAATGGTATCCAGGATTTCGTTTAAAAAAAAATTGACAAATATTATTATTATTATTATTATTATTTATATTGTTTCGCATAGAAAATGTACAAAAAATATTTTATTTTTTTTTATTCGAATAATAAGGTTACGTGTGATGATAATAATAATATTAATAATAATAATAATTAATTAATTAATTATAATTAAAAAGAAAAAAAAAGAAAAATCTTTTTCGGATGCGTAACGCGTAGGGAGATCCGAAAAAAAGTTATTATTATTATTATTATTATTATTATTATTATTATCATTAAATTTATTATTTTTAAAAATAAGTTTTATACGCGAATATATGTATATGATAATGATAATAATAATTAAATTATTTTGTTGGCAACATTGATTTTTTTTTTGTTTCTAATTAAAAAAAGGGATGCGATATAAAAAAAAATTTTTTTTTATTCGGTTGCTAAATTAAATAATGATAATAATAATAATAATGCAACCGGAAGTGAGCAGATTTTATACGACAATTGAGCATTCATAAAAAATTTTTTTTTAAATAAATAATTTTGATTGTTTGTTTGTTCGTTTGTTTGTTATGTCATTGAAGACATCAATCCATCCCTAAATATTAATTAAATTTTGTTTGTTTTGTTTGTTTGTTTTGTTTGTTAAATTAGTCTAGCTTTCGATCTTTGATTTGTTCTGCTGAAATCCGGTTCACCGAGATGATCGAAACTACTTCCGTAATCGGAAAAAGAACCAGCATCGTCATAATAAGCATAATCATAAGCTACGTCTTTTTTTTCTGTTTGTTTTGGTGGTGCCGTCGGTGAGGGATAAATTCTTTGTGGTAAAGGTCTGGATGGGGATGATGGTTGTGGCAAATCCGGTTTTTGCGATGGGGATCCCGTTGGAGAATATGAATTTCCAGGTTGGTTAGTAGACGATTGGGATGATGAGTAAAAGTTTTGTCTCGGTGCTGGTGGGGTGTCGTATGTTGGTGTCGTTTTTGGTGTTGTTACGATTGTTGGTGTTATGTATTTTGTGGTTGTTGTTGTTGTTGTCGTCGATGTTTCCGTTAATCTTGTATTGTTGTTGATTTTACTATCGTAATTTTTGTAATTGTTGTTAGCGAATGAATTTAAATCGCTCGGCCGGAAATTATTACTTGGCGCCGTTTTTAAAAATTCTTGATTGTCGCCATCGTCGAATTCTTCCAAATTTCTACTGTACGTTTGTCGTTGGTTGTATTGACGACTTCCTTGTGCTTCGTAACTTTGTTGTGAGGTTGATGTTTGTTGATTGTTGTAATTTTGTCCTCTGTTTTGTGCCACTCCTGCGGTTTGTTGTTGTTGTTGTCTGTTTTGATCGTAAGTTCCACCGTTGTTGGCTTGATATTGTTGTTGTTGTCTGTTTTGATCGTAAGTTCCACCGTTGTTGGCTTGATATTGTTGTTGTTGTCTGTTTTGATCGTAAGTTCCACCGTTGTTGGCTTGATATTGTTGTTGTTGTCTGTTTTGATCGTAAGTTCCACCGTTGTTTCCTTGATATTGTTGCTGTTGTCTGTTTGTTTGTTGTTGATAGTTACCGTTGTTTACTTGTTGGCGATTTTGTTGAAAGTTTCCGTTGGTACTGACACCTTGTTGTGGTTGTTGTTGTTGTTGTGGAAGAGGTGAATTTCCATTTTGTCTTTGTTGTGGAAAGTTAGATGTTCTCAATGTAGGATTTTGTCTGTTCGTTAGCGATTGTTGTTGATTTTGTTGTTGTTGTTCAGGATAATTTTGTTGTGTGTTTGGAAATTGTCTTGATTGTTGAAAGTTTTGCGTCGCTGGTGTATTTACTCGGTTTTGTTGTTGTTGTTGTGGAAAATTTATATTTCCTGGTCTGTTAAATTTTTGTTGTTCTTGTTGTTGCTGTTGTTGTTGTTGTTGTGGGTAATTTTGATTTTGAAAGTTTCCATTTGTTGTCGAGGCTGGTAAAACTCCATTGGCAGATGTTTGTGGGTAATTAGCGGTTGTTTGCCTGTTTTGTTGTTGAAAATTATTATTGTTGTTTCCTCTATTATTTTGATTGTAATTGGATCCGGCAGCAACGATTGGATTTTTTAACAAACTAAAAGCTGTCGTTTCTTTTTTCGTGTCTGTTGTAGGTTCTGGATTTTTCAAACCCGCAACAGTCGGACTCGATTCATAAAATGCCGGAGTTGTTTGTTCGATTTTTTTAAACGGTGGAAATCTCGATTGTTGTTGCGGGAAATTTTGTTGCGAACCCTGGGGTAAATTTTGTTTAAATACATCACCGTTGGCACCACTGACGGGAGCTAATGTTGTCGTCGTCGGACGGCTCACAGTGTTATATTTTGAATTAGAATCCCCGAATCCACCAAATTTTTGTGTGACTTGAGTTGTAAATGATGAAAATCCCGGTTGTTGAGGGGCTTGAGTCGGACGTACGGTTACTTCATCTTCCGGTCTTTTCCTCGTCAATTTTCTTACAGCAATTTTAGTTCTTTTCTTATCGTTTAATTGATTTTGATTTTCGACAACGGTTTGTTGAGTTGTTGGTGTTTGTTCCGTTTGTTTTCTAAATTGCGATTGAAATTGTGTTTTAGGTCTAAATTGTTGACTCGGTCTTGGCCTATATTGACTATTGTTTAATATTTCCGGTTTTTTAGTCGTTGTTTCCTCTTCATCTTCTTCTAAATCTTTTCCTTTATTACGATTGTTAAAGAAATTTGACGAAGAACTTCCCCTATAATAATAATAATAATAATAATATAATTTAAAAAAAAAACAATCGTAGATGACGTAATAAAGAAAATAATAATAATAATACCTTAAAATATCTTTAGAATGAAGTCTTCTATCTCCGGTTTCACTTTTTTGTAAATAATAATCATCATCTTCGTACACGTTGTTTGTCAAAATGGGGGATTTTGTTGAGGGACCCAATGGTAAGACCGAACCCTTGTTACCGGTCGATGGTGGTACAGGTACTCTTTTAGCCGGAGAACTTCCGATTCTGTACAAATCGAAATTTTCATAATAAAGACCTGAACCGGCGCAATCGATATCGCCGGAATCGGCGCAAATTTGATTTTTTTGATCGAAAGCCGTTTCGTTCGGACATAAAAATCTAAAATCTTGTACCTAAAAAAAAAAAAAAAAAAAAAAAAACGTTAAAAAAAGGAAAATGTCGTTTGTTTATTTTAAAAAATGAAAATTTCTGAACGTACTCCCTGTCCTGGTATTTTAACGCAAACGTGAAACATTTGACAATTGGCTTCCAGATCCGCATAATATCCTCCTAATATTTTATCACGACAATCAAAATTTGTTTCGGGCATGTCTTCGAGACTATAATACCTTCTTTGTCCATTGACTAATGCCACGACGGCAAGCATAACTAATAAGAATAAAAAAAAAAAAAAAAAAATTTAAATAAATCCAATCATTTTATATGTACCCGTGAAAAATAAATTTAAAAATCATGAGATTCGTGATAAGAAAATCATCATCATTATTGTTTTTTACCATAATAATAATAATAATATATAAATTTCGTAAAAAAAAATTATACATTCGCAATAATAATAATAATAATAATAATAATAAAACAATAGTAAATGTGTTATCAATAGTTAGATAATAAAAGATAAAAGGTCAAATGAAGACAATACTATAATAATGATGATGATGATTTTTAACTTTTATGACCTCGTTAATTATTTACGCAGAATTTAAAATAATTTTATTCTCCTCCCCCTTCCCCCCAATCCATTTTTTTATATAAAAAAATTCGGTTTTATTATCATCATTATCATCGGTCGATTAATTACGTAATAAAAATTATCCACGCCACTTTTTTTTTTTAAAGGTTATAAATATATTTTCACTAAATTTTTTTTTTTTTTTTTTTTTTCTTATTGTTTTATTTTATTGCACACCCTTTAGCAGTTATTGTGTAGTCGATTTCATGAATAATAATAATAATAATAATAATAATAATAATAATAATAATACCAAAATAATTTTCTTCTGCTTTGTTTTTTTTTTGTTGAATTGTTTAAATTCCAGTTGTTTGTTTTTTATATGTAATCACGTGGGTTTTAAACAATTCAATACACAACTTTCCATAGTTTAATTTTTTTTTTTTTTTTCTTTTGTTTTATTTTATTATTATTATTATTATTATCATATTCCCGGGAGTTGTCGCCGATGACGACGACGACGACGACGACGACGCCTCAGGAAAATTAATTAAGTAATTAATTTGAAAAAAAAATAAAACAAAACAAAAGAAATTTTTTATCGTTAAAAAAAAAAAACTTACCGATTAGTTTTAAATGCATGACGTTTTTTTTTTTTTTTTAAATTCTTTTATCTCTATCTCTCTCACTCTGTTTGTTTGTTTGTTTGTTTGGAAAAAAAACCTGAAAAAATAAATAATAATAATAATAATTAATTAACTCGTAATATTAATAATGATGATGATTTTAACTAATTAAATTATTATAAAAATTAAATTTTTCCTTTTTTTTTCATATTAAATATTAATTTCGAAGGGGGTGGGGGTGGGAGCGGGGTGGTGGGGGATGTGGGAAAGGGCGGTAAATTGTAAAATGAGGTCAAAGGTAAAAGTTCTTAATTAAAAAACCGACGCTTTCGAAAAAAAAAAAAAATTATTATTATTATTTTTTCTCCGAGGGACGTTTGGATTCGATTACACATAAACAAGACGTTTAAAACGTTTTGAAAAATTTAATGAATGAAAATTTCTCTCTCTCTCTCTCTCTCTCTCTCTTGTCTCTTATACTCACTCTCTCTTTCTCTTTCACATTTGCGCATCATTAATTACAGGGTTTCATAACGAACGTAATCGATTACAAAACGACGAGAAATTTTTTTTTTTTTTTTTTTTTTTTTATCATCGTACCTGCACTTGTCTAAACCTTGCGTGCTTGGGTGCGTGTGTGCGTGTACGACCTTATTTCCTGTGTAAGGAAACTTTAATACTTTTTAGTTCGTAACAATCGAATTTCAATAATACTAATAATAATAATAATAATATTTTACGTTTTGTTTTTTTTTTCGACAGTAATGATTTTCACGAGTGTAACAAAATGAGGTTATGTATCATAATAATAATAATGATAATAAACCGTGTGAACCTTGTTACGTTTTATTGCGAACGAAATGTATTGTATATGAAAAAAAAAAAAAAAAAATTTTCATCCATTATATTATTAAGATAAAAAAAAAAATATATAACGCAACATCATGGTAAACTTATATGCGTATGTGAATTCTCGGTTAATTATCATTATTATCTTTATCATCATCATTATTATTATTATTATTGTTTTCACATGTAGTAATGAAATTTCATTTTTTTTGGTTTCATTGTTTTAATTAATTAATTAATTTTTATTTATTTTACCATTGCGTAATCGTTAAAACAAAAAAAAATTATAAAAATTTTCGATAAATTTATTATACGTGTCATTAGAAAATTATATATAAGTTAATGACACGTTTCCCCCCCCGATTACGAACGTGTATATGCGTGCTTGCGTGCGTGCGTGTGGTAATAAAAATTTTTTTTCTTCATTTATTTAAATTCTATTTAATTATTATTATTATTATTAAGATTTAAAAATTCAATAAATAAATAAATAAATAGAAAGGTATCAAGAGAAATTTATTAAATAAAAAAAAATAAAAAACTTTCTATTTAATTTATGACTCCAAAAAAAAAAAAAAAAAAATGTCTGGAATCGTATAATTGTCAGGAACGCCCTCGAATTATTATTATTATTATTTTTACTCGAAATGTCAAATAAATTAAAAATGTGAGAAGGAGGAGGAAGTGGAAGGTTTGATACGTAATGGCGGCGAAAAGAGTATACAAAAAAAACGGTTTTTATGACGTCATCATACATATATATTCGTATGTAAATATATGTACGTATGTATGTATTATGCATGCACGGTTAAACATTATCTCGTAAATCTATGTGTAACGCCAATGATGATAATGATGATGATGATGATGATGATGATGATGATGACCCTGGAACATTCTAGATGTATCATTTCGCAATATTCGAATAAGAACAAAAAAAAAAACGAAACGATTCGATTTGAAATTCGATTCAATTTAAAATTTTTTTTAATATAAAATTTCCTTTTTGTTAATGATGATGATGATAATAATGATGATGATGATGAAGGAGAAAAAACAAAATGAAAAATCGTTTGTACGGTTTTTGTAGTATATTGAAAAAAAAAAAAAAAAAAAATAGGCGTTTAATATTAACATCTCACTCGCCTTAAACCAAAAAAAAATTATTAATAATTATTATTATTATTATTATTACATTTTCACTTTTGTTCACGTAACACCTCTTCTCCTTCCCTCCCCCTACCGTAAAAGAAATTCATTACCACTGATATAATTTTAAAAAAAGTTCGGTTTTTTTTCGGGGGGGTTTAATCGTTATAAATTTTCCGTTAAACGCACATGGACAGCACGTGCGTGCGTGTCTGCGTGCATGTAAATAATTTAACGTTAATTGAATGATGGTAATAAAAAAATTTTTTAATGTGTCAGATTTTTTATAGAACAATCACGATGATGATATTGATAATAATAATAATAATTAAAAATTATGTTCGAGGTATCGAAACGCCGGAAATGAATTTTAAAAAAAAAAAAAAAAACGTCTACGTTCGTCCGTTCGTTCGTACGGTAATTAATCAATGAAATTTATAAAATATTAATTTATTATTATTATTGATATTTTAAAACTCACGCACGTTTTCTCACGCACGCACGCACTCACGCACACGTTTCTCGCGTGAAATAATAAATTAATTAAAAAAAAAAAAAACAAAAGTGATTAATGAATATATATAAGAAAAATAATAATAATAATCATTCAATCCAATGAACTTTCATTTCCTTTTACGATGACAAACAACAAACCGAAAATAAAAAAAGGAAAACGATTAAAAAATTTTTTGTTTGTTCGTTTGTTTGTTTTGTCCTTTTGTTCGCAAATAATATTTTAATTATTATCATTAATTTAATTAATTATGGCGGGTTTTTTTTTTCTTTAAAACGACCGAAATAAGGAATTTAAGAAAATACAGGAAGTTACGATGCGATTCGCACACCTGAGTGCATGAATAACGTAAACAGGAACAAACGACAAACGACAAACGACAACAACAACCGCAACAATAATAATTCGCGCGCGCATTTTTTTTTTCCTTAATAGATTATCCTGCTTCACATTCGTTTTATTCAATCGGAAATGATGAGGATAAATAGTTAATCTCACTGGATTAAATCGTAATCCCCCTTTAATCTCGTCAGATTAAAAAAATAATAATGTGAGGCGCCGTAAAAAAGAAAAATTCTCCCCAAAAAAATACTTCGTGAGAATTTTTTGTTTTATTCATACGTCGTAAGTTTAACAACGAAACGTGATTTTTACGAAACTCGCTATACGAATTCCATCCGAGTTTTTTTTATATTTGATGCAACTTTACATTGACTTAATTATGCGTCCGCCATTTTCTTTTTAACTTAAAAAACGATTATAATATAACCTTTCCAAAAAGAAAAAAGTGAGTGAGAGAGCGAGCGTGTGAGTGAGAACGAGAGGGAGAGAGAGAAAGAAAGAGAGAGATATTAATAAATTTACATTTATATATGTTTTATTATAAACGTACATCAAAGGTAATAAAAAAATCAAGTTATTAATGTTTTTCTTTCTCTCTCTTTTCGTTTTTAATGATCAATCACGTCAATCAATCATAATTAAAATATATAAATACCTTTCGTGTGCGCGTGCGTAAGAATTAATTGTACATGTATTTAAAAAAAAAAGAAAATAATTAACGACCGTTAAAATCGAACGTGAATTTTTTTTTAAAAAAAAGTTTCAAAATTTTCCCGCGTTGAGCGTCGTCGTCGTCGGTCGTCGTTAGTGACGTCATCGCCATCGTCTTGTTGCCACCCTTTCCTGTTTATTTTACCCCATTAATTCATAACTCTCATTGGTTTAATTTTTAAAAATGAATTATTATTATTATTATTCCCGTTTTTTTCCGAATTTAGTAATAATAATAATAATAATGATGATGATGATGATGATAATTGTCGAAATTTTCAAATGATTTTCATACCGTTTTTATACTTAATAAAATATTACGTAATTTTTTTTTTTTTTTGTTGGTAATTATACCATCCCGTAACGTGAATTACTTAAACGTTTTATTTTATTTAAAAAAGCAAAAAAAATTTTTTTTTTTTTCATTTGCTTTTCAATGTAATGATAATAATAATAATCACTTTAAGACTTTTTATATAATCAAAATGTTAAAATAAATAATA